TTATGATGGGGACGGTTTTTCATTTTCTTCTAGTTCTTGGAATAGAGCAGTTGACGTAGAAGCTTCAGGATTTGAGTTTTTAAAAGAAGATTGTCAATCATATATACTATTTCAAGTATGTCAGTCCTGGGTCATTCATTTTTGCTTATTGATAACTAATTTCTAATGTGCTCTACCAAGAAGAAAGAAGTTTGTTTTTAAAGTTAGTCCTTTGCAAGGAATACACTTTTGTTTTGTTTCTATATTTTAATTTTTACTTATCATTTATATAATGCTAGCTTTTATTATTATTATTTTATTGTATACTTAGCCCTGTAACTTCCTAAACTCTTAGCTGACTGGTTTTAAATGGTCTCACTCCCTAAGACCCATGCATATTCCTTGCTAAATTCCCTGTAAGATGCCCGTCTGCGGTTGTTTTGCATAGTTCTTTCATTGTGACTCAGTTCTCAACGTTCATAATCTCCATCACAATCTCTTCCAGACCCATGAATTATTTAACGGTGTTATTTGGTTTCCAAATGTACGGGGACATTTTAGCTGGCTTTGAACTTTTATTTCTAAATTCATTGTTGACTGCATATTTTCAAACCTTGGGTTTTTTTTTTTCCCAAGACTTCCTTTCTGATCCACGATGTATGTGGCCAACTTAAAAAAAAAAAAAAACATATTATATGTGTGTTTGAAAGAATGTGCATTTGTGAGATGCATAATAACACACATTATGGGGTTTCAATATTTGCTGTTCTTATAGGCACTTTGAAAGCTTAATTCATCTGTTAGCAAGGGGAGTGTAACAAAGCGCCTTGCCTTGATGATGGGCTTGCCGTCTCCTTACAGCTACATCAGGCTTTGAGATGTGCGTGGGCTGGGGCTGCCAATCTTCCTGGAATTACTACTTTGATCTTTTCATCTCTAACCATACTTCTTGGCCTGTGATCTGTTTGATATAAATGCATAAAGCCATCCAGAATTCTTTTGTGTGGCAACTGAGCTTTTTTTTCCCTTTTTTCCCCCCCCCCCCCCCCCCCCGCCCCAGTTTCCCCGCATTTAGGGTGTGTCTGTCATAAAGTGCATGGGGCCAAGTATTATATAACAAAATGTGGAGCATTCCATGTTGGGATTAAGTGGGGCGTAATGTTTGCTCCCTGCCTCTTTAAGTGTATACGTTGGGGGGTGGCCTTTCACAGCTATGGGATTAGGCAAGGCCATGACTCACCCCTGACTTTCTGGTTACTACCTGAACGCAAGCAAATCTCAACTCAGAAGTCAGCTATGTGCAACCCAAGCTTTCACTGAGCACCTTTAAAAATTACCATCCTTATCGACCTGCTGAGCCTTGTGGTGGAGAGTCATAGTCCAGTGCAGTGTGGATAGGAGCTTCTAGTCCTCAGGAATGGGTCCTGTGAAGAGAGCCAGGAAGGTGCAGGCATATCTGATTTGAGGGCTTCGCAGCTGTTTCCACGGCTTTCTCATGATGCACCCCGGCATCCAGTCACTCACACGCCACTCACAGTCATGTTCACTCTCCTGCTGTGCCTCACCCTCTGTCTCCATGCCCTGACCTCAGGGTCTGCTCCGTGAGCTCTGATGTTCCAGGACCTTTGCCTTTCCTTGGAAGAACTGAGTTAAAAGCATCACCTTCACCCAACTCAGGCTCCACACATGGGTGTTCCTTCTATTCTTTCAGTTCTCGAGGTGTTCTTGAGCGTGTGCAGGCCACACAGCCGACGGAGCCTTGGTGAGACATGTTTCTTTTGAGAATTGGGTGCTGTGTTTAGGATTTCTCACTCATTTCAATGGAAAAGCTTCAATTTTAGCAGCTGAAATAGTTTAAAAACTATCTTTAGAAATGCGAATCTAATTCATTTACATTTATTGTAATTATTGATACATCTGAATCTTTCTCTCATTGAAGGGACCAGCTTCCCTTTTTGCAGCCATAACGGCCCAAACTCGTGACAAGGAACCTTAGTCACTTAGAGGTCAGATGCCTGTCTTGTGACAAGGAACCAATCAGAAGTTAGCTGGTGGCACTATGCTTTACCACCCTGGGTGTGCTTTACGGACAAGCACACAGCAATGACGCACAAAGTATAGCAACCACCCTGGGAGGGCCTGTGGACCATAACAACCAGTTGACCAATCAACACAGGGCAAGCCCTCCAAGCCTGGAGGCACACCAATCGTGAGCCTGTGCGTACCCCTAGACACTCCCCTTACGCTGTCCTATAAGATCTCCTGGGAGGCCCTAGGAGCCCTCTTTTGCTAGCCGTCCGCCATGGGGGATGGGTAAAAGACCCGAGCTAACATGGGGTTAGCTCGTTAAATTACAATAAAGCCTCGTGCAGTTTGCAGCAAGCTCTCGAATCCGCCTGGTGATTGGGGTGACCGTGAATGTGGCCTGGGACCCCGGATACTTGAGTTTTCGGGGTCTAACATCATACTTCTAAAAAGCATATAACAAGGATAGGTATGATGGTGCACACCTTTAATCCAGGACTAGGTAGAGGCAGATAAATCTCTGTGAGTTCAAGGCCAGTCTGGTCTACATAGTGAGTTTCAGGACAGCCAAAGCTATATAATAGAAAACCCCATCTCAAAGAAACGTACAAACAAGAGAAAACAGGTAACATTAAAAAAGGGTTTCATGAAGACATCTTGAGCATGCATTTAATGTACTTTGTTTCTCCTGACCTCCACTCCTCTCCCCTTGGCCCCACTCCCTGGCCCTCTTTTCTTGTGATTCCCATCAACATTCGTGGCCAGTTTTGTTTTTGGTAATTTTGTCTTAATTTGTCTATTAATTTCTTTGTTCTTTCAAAGGTCACCTGTAGCTTTTAAACAAGCGACCTCATTTTTTAAAAAAATATTTTACTCTGAGTGAAGGCAAGAGTCTGGAAGGATCTGAAACCTTCTTGTCTTCTTCCCTCCCACAGCACTAATTAGAATACTGGTACCCAGCATTGCTCAAGTCGTCATTTGTTTTTAAGGAAGGTCTAGCACACGCTGATTTTTGCATCATCTGAAGTTCAGTGTTTATAATAGAGTCATGCACTGTGGCGTCCTCTGCTGGATCTTACCATACCCTGTTATGGACTTTTATGGGGGTGGGCTCATTTTTCTTTTTGCTATAAAGTTCACTCTTCAATAATAAAGGGCTCTATGACAGGAAATTCCAAAGTTATCTTCACATTGGGATGTTCTGAAACCTGGGCTCCACCCCAGCCAGGTGAGGTCACACGCTCTAGGATGCAAGCAATCCTTGTGCTTCGAGGCTCCACCTACCGGCAAACGTGGACACTCCTGGCAGATGCACCAAAAATGTCCCTAGTCTTGTTGTGCCTGACTGTGTCCAAGGCAACTTACTCCAGCATGGAATTCTGGGTTGGCTGCTGTTTTTTGTTAGCCCCTCAAAACTACAAGTGCCAGGCTTTGGGGCAGCCTGACACCATGTTTGTTTCTTACTGGTATTGGAAATGTTTTCCCTTCCCCCACACTCCTCACCTAATGTGTGAGCTGAGCTCCTTTGTATAAGTTTAGCCCTTCTCATTTATAAGTGAACTTCTTTAACTTGAAGACTGGCTCTTCAGTTATGGGTAATTTTCTGCAGTTGTACTGAACTGTCTGTATGTCCATTTGCTTACTTTTTCTTCTGTAACTTCGTGTGTGTGTGTGTGTGTGTGTGTGTGTGTGTGTGTGTGTAACTTGAACAATTCAATCGCTCCCACATGTTTCTGAGTTTTTCACTTCTGCGTAGCTTTCTAAGTGATATCCTCAGGTCTGTGTTCTAATTTATAGATTCTCTCTTTAGTCCTGTCTAGCATACATTTTAAGTTAGCTGCTTTTTAAATTTTTGGTTGTTACTTTAGGGTGTGATTTCCAGTGGCAGGGTCCCAGGAAGATCTTTCTTCAACCTGACATTTCTGCTCTCACTTAATGGCTGCTATTCCTCTGTCACCATAAAATCCAACAATGTAATCTTAAGGTCCTTTTCTAATTGTTCCATTCCTCCTTATTTCATCAAGTATGAGTTCTCCTGTGGTTTGGTTCCCTTAACTGCCCTGGGGTCATAGATTTTTCTCAAGAGTTTCATACTTTTATTTAAAAGGCACTAAAATCCTTGGGCAAATTTATGTGTAATTGTGTACCTGATAAAAGGAAAGTTGTGAGTGAGCCTTGAACAAGACATTATTGCTGTTGTTATTATTATTAAATTTTTAAAAATTTATTTATTATTTTTATTTCATGTGCATCGGTGTTTTGCCTGAAAGTATTTCTATATGATGTCAGATCTCCTGGAATTGGAGCTACAGACACTTGTGAGTTGCCATGTGTGTGCTGGGAAATGAATCCAGGTCCTCTGGAAGGACATCCGGTGGTCTTAACTGCTGAGCCAATTCTCCAGCTCCTAAAGATTTATTTTTATTTATGTGTATGTGTGTGTCTATGTGAGTGCAGTACCCACAGAGGCCAAAAGATGGAGTCATATGCCCTGGAGCTGGAGGTACAGGTGGTTAGGAGCCCTTTGACTTGGCTGCTGGGAAACTTAGGGTCCTCTGCAAGAGCAGCAAGTGCTCTTACCCACTGAGCAACCTGTCCTGCTCCTGGGACAGTATATTATTAAGAGGAGGACACAGAAGGTCCAAGAAAGTTCAAACAGGGCCACAGACAATCTTTGGTAGAGGGTGTTTAGCTAAAAGCCCAGTTATTCTACCTCATAAAGAAATACAAATCAAGAAACTGGTAGTATTTCTGCTCATGAAGAGCGATGGTATCTAATGGCAGCAAATCCTGCTGATAGTGGAGTTTAGCTTTTTAGGGAACAGGTTAACACTGCCAAGACAGCACGGCGTCCAGGGCCAACTTAGCATTTAATGTGCAGTGACCTATGTATGTTACAGGCATGAAGACTATCTGCAAAAACCTGAGAAACACTTTGCCTTGCGCCTTTTGCACATGGATGGTTAATTCAATTATAATCCATTTTCCTTCCAAAGTGTTCTCTTGATGGAGGAGGAAGCCTCAACACAGAATTTTAAAGCAAAACAAATGGACCCTTAACAAGGCAAAAATGTGTGTGGCGCATCATCTGGACTGAAGTATGTGCACCCGTCAAGAGCAATTTCTTTGATGGTGAGACGGGGGAGGGCGTTGTTTTTACATCTCTTTGTGCTTTTATGTGCTTTCCAAATTTTCTATAATGTGACGTTATTACCGTAATTAATGTAAAGAACCAGCACTGGGAAGCAGAGCCTTGCAGGTAGGCCACATGTTTGCACACCTGTGCCAGCCTCTGCTCTTGTTGCCCTACGTTGCCTGCTATGAGCAGCCTCTTTCCATCCACAGCAATCTGTGCTGGCTGGGGGCTGACTGTGTGCTTGGATTGGTCCTTAGGCTGCTGGGCCCTTAGGCAGCTTTGCCTTGGGGGAGACTCTCTAGTTGGAACTATAGAAATGTGCTTGGTAGTAAGTGGTGGGTGCCTTTACAGGATGGTTTCTTGGAGGGCAGCAGGTGCTGAAATATATGGCCAGTGTTTAACCGAGTGCTTGCTGGGGTGGTTTGTCCCTAAGACACACTGGGTGATGTCTGGAGATGCTAATAATGGTTACAATGGTTGTATGTTATTTTGTTTGTTTGGAGGCTAGACTGGCCTCGAACTCAAAGATCTGCCTGTCTCAATAGCCCAAGTGCTGAAATTAAAGGCATGAGCTACCACATAGTGTTGTGTGTTGTAGCAATGCCCTTCTGCCATTTAGTGAGATGCCGTGACCATTTGCAATGCCCAAGGCAGCCATACAACAAAGAGTTGTGTGATGCACCCCTCCTCCAGCCCCCGTATCAATAGCACCAAGGTTGGCAGACCTGAGTTTAGATATAAAATATTTAAAGGCTCACATTTTCAAAACTCATAAGTTTTTATGATTTTTCTATGTTAGTATGCACAAATACCCTTACTTAGGCCAATATCTCATATTTCCACTGATTCCTTGCAAATCATCTTCAAGCTTCAGAAACTATTTATTCAAATAACTTTATGAAATGTCACCAACTCTCTGCTAAGTGAAGAGACAGCAGGTCTTCAGGTCAGCAGGGACGGCTGGTCCAGGCAGTTATGTAGGGGTCTCTTGGCTCCCCTTGACAGTGAGAGTACTCAGCTTCTGGAATGAAGGTTCCAGAAGCTCCCCTCCCCCACTTGTCCTGTCCTATAGAGGATCACCAGGTTGATGCTCAGCACATTCAAGCAGAAGATTCTCCCACAGGGGGCAAAGCAAAGACACATGTTCTGTTTTTGTTCAAAACAGTAACACATGAGCGTCTGCCCAATTTACGTCACTGTGCATTTCCGTTAGCAATAGCCTCTTCAGGAACCACACGTGGGCTGGACATGCTTTTCATTGGTTTCACTGGCCCTGTTCCAGGGGCCACGGGGGAGCCCCTGGGGATCCAGAGCCCCCCCCCCCATGCAAGCCATTATGTAGTCATGCATTGTTGGTAACGATACCCCCTCATGCCCTGGCTCCGTTTATCTGTCAAACAAGGAGTTTAGGCAGAGCCGCTTTTTTTCCGTATGCCTCCAGAATGCCAGGGTTTCAGAGTGTTGTCTGCAAAAGGGCAAGATAGCATCCTGGACCACGGAATCCGTGGCCCTTCCACCCTTTCCTCTTCAGAGTTGGAAATGGATTCAATTTGCTTTCCACAGTTTCTCTTTAATGAGAGTGCGCTGACTCATGAGTTAATAGGGGTTCATTTGGGATGATTTTAGAAGGAAAATAAGTTCAAAGACGTGTTTGATAGGAGACGAAACCAGAAGTTAGTTGCACATGGGCACCGAAAATAAATGCATGAATGGAAAGGTATGGCGATCTCCCTTCTACCTAGCCTTCTGGGCCCTTCACATTTGGTTGCTGCATTTTTATTTAATTAATAACTGTCTTTGGCCACTTTTCATCTGGTAAAGAGCCCGAACTAGGAAACAATGAGGAAAACATTACTCTACATATTGCCAATAAATTAGAACACAGCAACTACAGACATCTGAGCCTGGCTGGGCCTTGATCTGTTCATGGACCATTAAGAATAATTTCCACAGGGTTCTCACAGGTGGAGGAAAAAGCTGGAAATGCTAAACGCTTGAGGCAAACCAAGAAGGCAGAGCAGAGGACTGCTTACGCTGTGGCTGAGGCTGAGCAAAAACTGCTTGCCCGGCTAGCACGAAGGTCACATTCACCACGTGGAGAGGCAGGATGCTGACCTCTCTGATTTCTGAGGTCCTTTTCACCCCGAGGGCATCTGTAATGGTGGATGCTAAGTATGTTTGGGGGTCAGTGTGACAGACAGGATTCCAAGGCATCTCCTGGTTTGCCCTGGCTACACATGTGACATCATGTGACTGTGACCATGACGGTGCCTATTATTAAAGGATCGTCCGTCAGATCTGTGAAGCTGTGTTGCATTCAGAGATGTCACTGCTCCTTCCTCCTGTAGGTGATTTTGCCATCATGCATTCTTTCTCCTCCCATTAGAAGTTGAATATATGCTTATAATTGTTTTCATTGTATCTGTTACTATTGTATCGAATTTGACCTTGGTGCTGGCGGGGCAAGCAGGTTTTGCTCATCTACATTGTAACCAGTCCTTTGCTCTGCCTTCTTGGTTTGCCTTAAGTGTTTATTGTACTTTTCTACGGCTGAGGCCAAATACTGGACCAGAAGCTACTGAAGGGAAGATTTACTTGGGCTTACAGTTCCAGGAAGACATAGTCCATCATGGTGGCAGGAGGATGAGGCAGGGGGAGTGAATGCTTGTTCTCAGCTCGCCTCTTCCCTGTCAGTCAGTCTAGGATCAGTCTGTAGGGGATGGTGATGCCCACATTCAGAGTAGGTATTTCCACCTCAGTTAACCCAGTTTGAGTAATCCTTCCCCCAGGTGCCCACAGAGATAACTCTAGAGCCTGTTAAGTTGTCAGTCAGCGTCAACCATCTTATTCATATTCTTCAAATGTTCAGCACACAGTAACACGGCTGTGTTGCTGCTGAGAGAAAAACACCACCACCAAGGCAGCTTACAGAACAAAAGGCTTATTTGGCTTGCAGTTCCCATTGGATAAGAGTTTGTCATGACGAGGAAGTGTGGCAGCGAGCAGCAGGCCTGGTGGCAGGTATGGTAGCAGGAACCGGATGCTGCTGCAAGGTCACAGCTTGAATTTCACACAGGAAGCAGGGCAAAGCTCCCAGCTTGAGCTTTATCCAGGAAGCAGGGCGAGTAAACAGGGCAAGATCTTAAGCTTTCAAAGCCTGCCCCAATTACATACTTCTATCAGCTCTGCTGTACCTTCTAAACCTTCCTATACAGTGCCACCAACTGGTGACAAAGTGTTCAAGAATATGCCTAAGTGGCATATTCTCATTCAAAACACCACAAAGACAGAAATTCTGAACTTATCTTGGTTTTTAAAAAAGATGAAGGTTTTTTATTTGTGTGCATGTGTGTGCATGTGTGTGCCAGAAGAGACCAGTGGATCCCCTGGAGCTGGAAGTCATCATGAGCCATCCTCTGTGGGTGCTGGAGAATGAACAAGGTTCCCTACAAGAGCAACGATCACTCTTAACCTCTGAGCCATTTCTCTAGTGCCCCTATCTGGGGATATGTGTATCTAGATATTTATGTCTATAAATCTATCCTAAGTATATTCCCACCTTACTATTACACAGAACATTCCATGGCCTTTTATAGTTGTATGCTACTCCATTCATGGGTATGCCTCAGTTTATTCCACCAGCTCCCTTTCTAGCTCCTTTGTGTTGCTTACCACCTTTTGCTATGGTAACCAGAGTCCCGGTGGTTGGCTTTGTGCCTTTACATAAGCACATTTTCCTTCGTGTGCCCTTCAGATCTGTTCTTAAAAGAGGAGTTGTCAGGTCATCACAGGTTACACGAATATGTGATTTTGCTAAGTATCTTGCACTGCTTTTCCATTGGATGACTTGCACTTTTTGTTCTCATCTGCAGTGTTCGGGGAGGTGAACATTCCTCTGGAGCTTTTCCCATCAGAGTTTGGAAAATCCAACACATGTTTGGCCACTGTGCTCTTAGAAGTGTCTATAACACTCGACTCAACGTATCTCTAAGACCCGAAAGACAGCATGCAACTTGAATAAGCCCCTTGTCGTGGAAATTAGTGCACTAATTACTAAAAGTGCACCTACAGAGACAACTCCAAGAAAGGGGCGTCTCCAGCTTCCACCTGCTGTTGAGTCCACGTCCTCTTTCCCCTTACCCGTGATTGACAGCTTCCCTTGGTGGCTGGGATCCATGAGTCCTTCTGTCTGCCAGGCCCAGTGTCCCCTCTCTTTGGGGACCTTTCCATGTCCTCATGCCCTAGGATTCTTCTCTTGCTATTACCTGTAGCCCATGGCTTCTGCTTGCTGTTTGCCTCACATAAGTTGTGAGGGTCCAGGGCACAGCGCCGAGCAGAAATGGGCTGTCTGAGTGCACGGCTCCACCCTGGCGGCTCTGAGTTTTCACCTCAACCCCTTTAACCACTCACCATTTCCCTTCAACATCTTTCACTGAAAACTGTCCCGCTATGCTCTTTCCCTTGGTGTGGCTTCTCGGGACCAATTTTATGGTAACTGAACTCATATTCATTGCAGAATATTTGAAAGATAAAATGACAGTTTTAAAATTATAGAAAACGTTATCGGAACACAAGCCCAGATGCGGCATCTAATGTCTTGGCTGGCTTATTCTGGAGCTTTCTGTGCTTTTAAACACCATAGGGACCACAGTGCACATTCACGATTTCCCAAGCTTTTCTGTTTATTGCTCTTTCTGAGAACACATGGCTTTATTTATTAATGGTGTGGTTCTCTTTCATAATTTCTTAATTTATTTTCTACATAGCTTATGATTTCCTTCCTTTTTATTTTTTTTATATGGGAAGACTTTATCCCTTTCTGTCTTACTTGAATGTATAGATGATTTATGTTTAATCATTTTATTTAAAATGAAATATCTGGGATTGATTTTTTTCCTACCCTTATTATATGCCCTTATTAAAGTTAGAATCTGTGGATGTACAGTAGGAGGCGCCTGCGAGTGGCCGAGCACTTCTCTGTTTATGTCCCAAACATCCTAAACTTAACTTCTGATTTCAACTTCTTTTTGTGAACGTTGGTTATACAAATACCTGTGTTGGCTCAATGTTATTTTTCACAACTGCAGCGTCTCCTACGGTTTGATTTGCCCTAGTTTATCCCCTCAAATTCATGTTTCTGGCTAACATCTTGTCCTTGAAAACACTCTTTTACATGTGGGGAAGAGAGAGACTAACTTGCTAGAGCAGAAACCATGGAGTGGGAAAGGTGATCCCTTGGAAATTGGAGGTGGTCGTGTATCTCAAGTCTTCAGCTCAGGACAATAGCTTTCCTGTCTAGATTTCTGGGTACTTCTACTTTTTTTCAGTGTGTGTGTGTGTGTGTGTGTGTGTGGATGTGGGTGCCAGTGCGTGTATGTGCATGTCTGTGTAGAGGACACAGGTCAATCTTGGTGTCCCTGCTGCTCAGTATCTCTCCACTTTATTTTTGGAGAAGGGGTTTCTCACTGGCCTGGAGTTCTCTGAGTGGACTAGGCTGGCCAGTGAGCCTCAGGGATCCACGGGTCTCCACCTCCCCAGCGCTGGGATTATATTGTATGTGGGGTCTGGGGATCAAACTCAGGTCGTTCTGCTTGTGAGATAAGCATTTTGTCACATGAGCCTTCCCCCAGCCCCATTGCTCACATTTCCTTCTCTTTGTGAGGGAAACAAGACATGGCCTTCTTTAACGACTAGTATGACAGTATGTTCCAGTTTATACAGTTTGTATAGTTGTAGTCGTTATCTCAGCACTTACTGTAGCTTTTTAAGTGCTGTCAGTATACTGACATGCCAGATACTGTGCAAGCATTGTGCCCATCCTGGCTATGAATTCTGTGCCCACTTTGGTGTTTCCCTGGTTATCTTGTTGCTTATAAAACAGTTTTGTGTGTTTTCTTTCTTTATATAGTTTTTTTCCATTGAAGCTACTCAGGAAATTATTTCATCTTATGGTTGTGAATATATTTAACTGACATTCCTTTTTACTATATTTGTAATTTTAGTTTTGATTTAATGCTTACCATTGTAATCACAACTGAAATGATTTTAGTTCAAGACAGAGAGCAGAATGTGTGCATGTTAGCCACTAGACACCATGTGGTAAGTAACTGTGTGTTTCCCGTGGGCCTGAACTGCCACCATGACTGTGTGCTTAATGTATATTCACACGGAGGTGCCATTCAAACCCCAAAAAGATTAAAGAGCATACCGAGTCAGGAGTCTAGCAAGTGGCTGCTAAGATTTCACAGACAATGGTCGCTGAGACTCAAGTTTGTGCAGAACTGGCTGTCATGGGCTCATGGGAACTCCTGAGGGTCAAACCACACTTGAAGCAGGTCCCCTTGGGCACAGTTGGTGGGTGCCCAGGTGACCTGGAATTCAGCTTTGAACTGCTCTAAGTCAGCCTCTCTATTTTCCCCAGGTTTAGAGTTGGAGGTTCCAGAGGAGAGAACCAGGTTTTCTTCACCTTCAATCCTTTTTAGGATGGCCTTTCCCAAGTAGCAGACTGTCTTAGTCACTGTTCTATTGCTTTGAAGAGAGACCATGGCCAAGCAACTCTTACAAAAGAAGGCATTTAATTGGAGGCTTGCATACAGTTTCAGAGGGTTAGTCCATTATTGTCATGGTGGGGAGCATGGTGGTACAGACAGATATGGCATTGGTGTAGTAGCTGAGAGCTATGTCCTGGCCTGGCATGGGCTTTTTAAACTGCACAGCCCACCCCCAGTGACCCATTTTCTCCAACAAGACCACACCTCCTAATCCTTCGAAGCCTTTCAAACAGGTCCACTCCCTGATGACTCAGCATTTAAATATAGGAGTCTATTCTTATTCAAACCACTCTGTAGACACTGAGACAAGGATCTGAACACAAATGGTTATTCCAGAACATACCATGTGAGAAGGAAAGAAAACTAATAGAAGGGTTGGCAACGACTTTTTCGGACAGCTGGGCCTATTCCCTCAGGCTGATGGCCTGCTATGGACGAATCCTAGAATCAGCAAGGCAGAGGGAACTGTGCCATTTATCCCACCAGCTTCTGCCAGTCCCTGGGAGGGCTGTTCCAAGGGCCCTCCACTCCCTGATCCTCTCATCCAATTGTCCTTTGTAGAGAGAGCCTTAAGACCGAGCCACAGGCTCTTCTAGTGGGAGGCAGTGGGGGCCAGGGAAGCAGACACCAGATGTCTCTGCTGAGTCACAAGTCTAAGTGCTTGTTGTCCATTAGCTAGATCACTCCACGCTGACAGTTCTGTGGTCTTCCCCACAGGCCTCCAAGTTGTCCTCCCCATATCAATCTAGAATGTTCCTCCCCAAATGCACAGCTAGTCTAGCTCTGTTGCTGAAGGAAGAAATCACACCAAACCCACTCTCTCCCTAGGAATCCTGGCATCACCCAGCCTCTGCCTCCTTGTGTAAACTGGGCACAGCACAGGGCTGCACACATACATCCCATGCCCTGTGTGTATCATTGACACACATGTGTGTGCACATGTGACATCATGTGCTGCTGTCATTCCTAGATCAGCTGGTTTGAGAGTTAGCTTAGAGCCCAGGGCAGGAGTGTGAGCTAGCCCAAGTCAGTGCAGCCAGAACCTACCATGGAGAGGTCAGGCAGACGGTTGACCATGACTCATCCATGAGTCATAGAAATGTTTATTCTTATTTTTCAGAGTTTTCAAAGCCCACAAATGCTCCCTTCCCACCAGCAAACAATTGCCACTTTTGTTCTCGGACACTAGCTGAGCTCATCATTTTTTTTTTTTTTTCTCTTACCACGGAGCGATGGAGTGCATGCCTTCGTGTTGGCTTCGGAGGAGATGGAGTCCCAAGACAAAAATCTGAATCCTGTCCATTTCCTCTCCTGCTCTGTAGCAAACCCCAGATGACACGAGGGGAGGCCAGCCCAGAGAGCACCCTGTAGTGATGATCTCCAGCCAGGGCTGCTAAAGAGGGAATCTATCCTCGGCGCTCTCTGGCTTCTCTTCAAATATTTAGGTGGGGCATTTGCATCTCATATTTTAGTGACAGGGAGGGTGATAAATGAGATCATAAACTGAGCTCTGTTGTCATCGCTTTGCAAGAGTTAAATAGGATTAATCATGAGGAATCTGCCTGGGACTTCCCCCCTAGGTCAGGAGTTGAACAGGATGGCCTTCGCTCTCTTGATAGATTCTCTGGTCAGTGGGGCTGAGGCTATGAATTAGGCCAATTCATTTCTACCTGGGAGTTAGAGGCCTCCATGGAGCCTCGAGGGGAATTACCTTCACAGATCTCATTGCCAGGGACCACCTTCTGTATAGCTCTGGGCCTGCAGTCACCATACAGCTGGGTACTGCTGCTCTGGGTAGACCTCCACATGTACCAGGCAGAGCAGGGCTGGGGTCACAGGACAGGCATTTCGGGGAGGGGATCCTAGTCCCTGGGAGCCTATTGGTAAGTTTCTTGGGCTGCTGGGTAGGGAAGGCACCAAAAGGACTCCTCTCCATGCAGTTCCTTCTAGATAATGACAGACAAGACATGTTAAGGCCTAGAGTGGTCCCTGCTCCTGCCTGACACTTGCTAAGTGAGGTTGTGACCGTGAAGATGGACGCAGAGCCCTGAGAGGGGCTGTTGTGGGACCAGGGACGCACTGAATGACCTTAGAAGCCACACCTACCTTAATCCAGCTCCAGAAGTGGTTTTGGTATTGTAGGGATGGGAAGAGAGATGGAGTTTGATAGGTGTCAGAGGCTCAGAAAGACAGGTTTCCATGGAAAGGCTCAGCCTGGCTCAGCATCCTTCAGACTAGGAAGCCAGAAGCAGCAACAGATAAGAGGCTGGACATTCTATTCAAAGGGCAAGTAGATAGTTTTGTTTGATATACTCATCAGTCTCTAGTGCTTTTGGCATGTCATCAAGCAAGGAATGGTTTTAAGTGAAGGTTGCTAGTAATAGTAACAGTGGTTTCCCCCCCCAACACACACACACACACACACACACACACACACACACACACACA